AATTATTTTAAGCTGAGGGCCCCAAGTTTATCAGTAACTTAAGTTACTGTCACGGGTCACCCTCATTAAATAAAGTCTTTCACTTCACTTCACTTCATGGCGCTACACTGTCCAATTAATGCTCAAATCGGGCTGCTGATAGCCAATCACATTCGAGAATTTTGTCATAGTTTTGATTACTATTATTACTATTACTACTATTACTATTATTATTATTATTATTATTATTATTATTGTTATTATGCGTTGTAATCCACTAGTGAATAATATAGAGCGGTTTTCAATTGAGTGTCGTAAAACCAAAACCAAAGTAATTACTCTATTCAATCAAAAAGGACGCAGACAATGCAGTGAAACAATCAAAACTCGAAGTTATTACATGTAGCTGACGCAAAGCGCGGGAAAGCGCGTGCGAACGAGTCATGATTGGTTTTTGGTTTTGCTTCTGATTGGATGAAAAAGTGGCGCGAATTTTTTAAACCAATCGTGTAGCGTAGTTGATGCGAAAGCAATTACTTTTCGATACTCAAATGAAAACCGCTCTAATGCCATTGGAGTTGGTAGTGTGTTACGTCATAGATTAGTATTTTGGCTTATCTATATACAGACGTTATAAACATGTATCATTTTTTGTTCTTATCTTCATTGTGCACAAATAAGGTTCGAAATCCGATTTCAAACCAGTAATTCTGTAAGGTTTCGATCCTGATATTTTTACTCAAACTTAAGGTGGGAAACATAAGATATTTGAAATGCTGTCACTGGCTCATTAACAATAGCGATTAATACGAGGAAATCCGTTGTTCAGTGAAAATGAACATCGCATCAGTCCCAACAAATGCACATCTCACAAATTATGATCACTTGTCTACTACAGAAACTGGTTAGCCATCGGATTCAAACACAACCAGAATTGAAAAAATAGACAAACATACAAATAAAGAAAATAGTTAAACAAAAGCTGAAGGTTGAGTTTAATAGTTGATTTGAGTCCCCATGCAGTTACTAGTGCCAAGGTACTTTCATAGTCCTCGAAACGCCGCTTAGCATAACAGTTGCAAAAAGCATAAACTCACAAGAGACATGAACTGAAATCGTCGTTGTAGCCTTGGTTATAGTATTGTGCGTCGCAATCGCCGCTACAGAAAAACAGTCCCCTTATATTATTATCTTCTGTTGCCGTTTGATTTGATGTCATTGCTGTGCATGTGGTTCCCTTTCTATATTGCCTATTTTTGCTGCAGCCTCAGTGATCATCAGAGATCCTAGATTTTCTCCGGCGTTTTGCAACTTTAAGGGAAGCTTTTGTATGGTGAAAAATTCTGGTTCGGGTGCTAATAAAAATAAGCCGGAATGGTGCTAGAGTTTTCGTGTTCTACTACCGGCTGAACGGTTGATTGGTTGCTCCTCTGGAGGCCCCACATGCGGTAAAGCTGCTTTCCCTCTGGCTCTTCCCCTCTTCTTGCAAAACAACACATCACGCAGATGTTCACGGAAGCTCTTCATGCGCATGCTGTACAACACGGGATTGACACAACAGTTGAAGGTGAGCAATACTGTACCAGTCTTGTCAAACCACGGGATCAGTTCACTCCAGTGCTCCATAAGGTAAGCTGTCAAGTTTGCAATCCAACAGACTGCGTAGATGACACTGACCGTAATCAGCGTTACGGTAACTCGCTTGCGATAGCGTAGCGTGGCCCTCTGGGAAGCTGCTAAGTTCTGGACCGATTTGAACCACAGGTGATGCACTACTCCGGAGTACAGGTATACCATGATGCTCACAGGGACTATGCCTGCTACAACCATCCACACTACGCTGTTTACTTTGTTGGTTATGAAGCTAATACCGCCTGTTTTATAAAATTGTGAATCAGGATGATAACAAGTCAGAAAAGATACTGGAATGCAGATAAGAATGGCTACAATCCAACTAATAACGACGAAAAGTTTTAGACGTCGCTGAGTAAATCTGCCGCGTTGACGAAGCGGATGAATAATGGCAAAGGAGCGTTCAACAGCAATGTACACCAAACACAGACTGGATACAGTACCACCAATCCACCCTACACCTCCACCTGCGAAAAATGCACACAGAAAACGGTCTGTATGTCCTTCGGGGTGGGCTAGATGTGGCATCATAACATGAGTTATTCCAGTGGACAAAGCGAAGACGATGTCGGCGACAGCTAAGTTCACCAGGAGATAATTGAGCGTTGTCCGCATAGGCTTGTTGATAAGGACCGTTAAAATAACGAGCGTGTTGCCGATCAGAGACATAACAACAAGGATTGATAACACCACAATGGAAATCATCTCATCGACAACCCAGGAACAATTTTACTTGTAACTGAAACATGAAACAAAATTTTAATGTTTAACTTAGCTTAAATGCACCAATACAACTGGAAGGCATCAGTCCTAGCTACCTCAAGGAATAAAACAAAACGCTTATTTATTTTCATTTACCGTTAGGTTCTGAAAAGTAGCGGTAGAAAAAGGTTGCTAAATCCTGTGGTTAAGCTGGCACTGTTAGGGCATTATATGACAGAAAAAATGCCCCTGTCTTAACTGCGCTTGCGACTGGCGCCGGATGTTGCGGTATAACTTGGATTCACTGTGTCGTCGGTAAAAAGGCGCAGCAACGCTTTGTCTTGAGCTGATACCTTGCTTAACTATTCGAAACTTAGTTCACCTGCTAATCCAAATTAACTTGAAGGTGATAGGTTTGCAATGACTTTACAACCAACCTTCAGAACCACTGCGGTGGTTATTTATCTTCTGTAATAATGCTAACAACTAGACATTGTAATTTATATCACGACAAACGAAAAAGCCCTACTATGTTGTCCAGGTGCATGGCTTTACGTTACAACATGAAGCCTGGATGGAATATCATTAAGAGCATACATAGTCCTTGGACGTTTCCGGATCTTATAAGACAGCAAGAATTTTCGACCAGGCATGAAAACATACCGCGGAACACTGTTCAGAAACCTGTAAATACAAATAGTGGTTTTCCTTGTCTTTATTTCTGCAGAAGTACAATAAGTTTTTAATTACATTGACGTCTTACGGTGTTATTAATGGATTTTTCATTTTCACAAGACAAACAGCCTTTGATAAGACGTTCTCTATGTACACACTCCCGCTATATGTTAGTGAGAAAAATACACCGCAAGACCATGGACAAGCTTCATACATCCTCACAAAAGAGGGAAAGCACTCGAGAAACGTGACCATAATTTCACAATCCCATGGGGTCGAAAATGAGCTATTCAAAAAGTCTTTTATTGATAGATACTTTGTTAAAGATTATTAATATTGTATGTTATTTTGCAAGGTTTTTTATAACTTGAATAATTTCATATTTAATTTCCTGTTTGGGAAGTCATCTTCTCTGGCAATAAAGAATTATGTGGAATAATGAGGATCACTAAAGCTTGACAAGATGTGAATTTCGTTCTGTTTAGCTCTTCGTTTATCAGTGCGACGATTCCAAATGCCTCTTGAAGGGTTACGTTTTGTGAAAACGTTGGTAACATTTGACATTATTTACGCAACAAACCCACTTCTACAAAAATATGACTAACATCGCTTGCCACCGTTGATTGACCTTCGATTTTTTTAACTGTAAACCCCTGTAGACCATGCTGAATTACGTACGCCCCTGAATTCTGTTCATGTAAGCTAGCTTTTTGTTACTCTCAAAATATCAGTTCGGGTTAGAGTGGCATATCGGGCTAGCTTACAAGCTAAGAAAGGGAACCAAGTTGCCGATACATTAAATTATCACTTTCTAAGTGTAGATAACAAGAAGTTTCAAATTACAGCTTTGTCCCACGGATCAAATGTGGCAACACACTCCCATATTACTAACATCTAAATCTTGATTCAAGCCCGCTGAACATTCTTAATTTTAGACGATAAGAACTAGGCTGGGCCACGCAACAAGGACACGTTCTTAGCCTAACTTTGTATGTCCTGTTGGTAGAAAACCAAAAGAATTGAAGTGACCACGAAAAACGAATATATCAGATTTGAATAATATTGCATCCTAGGCGTTGTACGAATAAAGATAGCAACCTAAAGTGTCTTTCTGATATCTTCGGAATCTAGCTCCGGTAAAGGCACGATTCAATCGGACGCCATGTTCTTGTAAGCCCTTCAATACTTTCCCCAGCATGTTTTCAAATTGTACCTTAGATTAGTGGCCTGAGATAGGGTGTCCTCCGACCGACTAACTGAAAACTTTACTTCTTGAAGCAGTTGATCCAAGAGCCATCCAGAATGTGCTGAAACGTTGATGGAGAACTAGATAATCCAACTGGCAACCGATTGTAGTGGTAGAACCCCATGTGGGTGTTTCCGTTTAGATAATTCTCCGACAGGATATTGATCAACAACAGCACACAAGTTTACTGTGGTCCTGTAGCCCGCACCATGGACTCGTAGAAAACGTCTTTCTTAGGCACCAGCACCACTCGCATCCACTCACCACGTTATTCAGTCAGCCTTGCAAATATTTTTTAAACTAAAACCGTTGTAGTGTCGTCGTCGCCAGAGTTGTAATATTTGTGTGAGTAAGTAATTTGGTGTAAGTAATTAAAAAGCAACTGTTTCACTGACAAAGCTTTGGTAGTCCGCAGAATCTCTCTTTCTCTCTGTTACCATGTGCTCTTCTGTAATGTCAAAAAAAGGCCCTGACATCTAAAGTGTTTTTGTGCAGTGGCGATCCTTCACTGGCCCCTAATAGGAAATGACAAGTATTTGATTCATCAACTTTTTCCTTGTCGTTCCGGGTTGATTTTAGCATTTCAATTGGTCACATATGATCTTTCAAGTTCCTTGAAATTTTTTTAGTTCGCAGAGGCTATTTATGAGACGATTTCCGGAACTTGTTCTTATTCCATGCAAAGTTTTTACCGTTTCAGTTGCTGTTGATTAAGAGAACAGAGTTCTGAGTTCTGCTTCAACAGCTTACATCGTTTTTCACAGCATTGTGTTTACAGCAGTTACCTCTGTTTCTGGGGTAGTGTTCCTCCTTTCTGGGATTTAATACCAAAGTCTTCAATGCTTCGACAGCTGTTCACGTAATAGAGCTTTTCTTGGTTTTTATACTTTCCTGTGGACTTTTAAATAAATCAGTACCTGTGTCCCTTTTTACTTCTTCGTCCTCGGTGACTGTTCTGTTGTGCAAGTGGCTGTCTCTAGATCCCCTTTGTCGACTGTATCCCTCGTTATTATCGAAGATTTTCTCCGATATTTCGTAAGGTCAAGTAAATTTCCCGTCTTGGACACCTCTTGTTTAAACGCTGGTAGCAATGAGAGTGATGTTGTTGCTGGTGGATTCCGCTCGCATTTCTCAGATTCATTGATTGATTGCCTTATTTTAGGACCCACACACACTTGAG